ATCCGTAGAAATTAGAAAACATGCGATAAATCAGATAAATTTTATATTTATATGAATTTATCGGATATAATAAACACAATATATAAGACATAATAACATGCATTGCAAAACACAACACAACATACAATCGAAGTTTGACTTTATTGTTACAAAAAAATATGTGGCTATACTGTCCATTTTGTAGTGTAAGTAGATGACAGTGAGGTTCAAGCCCATAATAATCGAATACTTTTTCGATAAAAAGGTATTCTATCGGAATACATGAAAATAAATACATACTTAAAACGATTTTTTGGATCATACAATTTGGAGAATTAGAATAAATGCGAGAAGTTTAAGTTTTGTACTTTAGCTGTCTTTAGAAAATCCATTAAGCTAAAGAGTGAGTGAAAAATGAGAGCATAACTAACTCATTATATGGTACTAGTTGAATTGGCCGCTACCACCATGGCCATGGCCTCTTCGATCGCAGTTTCCTCGACCTCTAATTATTGTCCATTGTAATATTTGAATTTTTTGGGTTGGTTTGATTGGCCTTTCTCCTCGGCTCTTTTTTGAAAATGCAGGAACCGATTTACTTACTTCCAATAATGCAAATTGATTTTCCTTTATTCCAACACAATGTTCTTCATTGATTTCATCATATAACCAGTAGTGTTACCTCACATATATAGGTCATCCAAATCCAAAGATACTAGTACTTAAATATATACAACCTTGAATCCTAAGAAGTACAAACACAATCGTTATATTGCTAATTAGCATATGGTTTTAAAGTGAGCGAAATCATAAAGCAAAACATATATTTTCACATCTCTGGTTCATAATCATCAAAGGGTTCTTTCTTCTCGACCCAAATCGCTTGATAAAAACATCGGTCTCGTTACGCAAAAGCGCATCTCCAAACAGAAGGAGGAGAAATTAAAGACAAAAGTGTGTAGATCATGAGAAGAAAAGTGAAAGCACCACACTAGTCTAAACTTGAAAAAAAGCACTCTCGTTTTCTCATTTCTCATCTTCCTGTAGAACTTCCAAGACCCGCACAAGGATAAACTGCCCGCACCGATATATCTGTTTCTTTTGACTTTGCAGGTCCAACACGCGTAGGAGGAGTTTCGCCTCCTCCTACTCCTGTTGTCCCTTTTGACTTTCTCTGCCTCGAGTGTTTTGGTCCAACTGGCTGATCATTTTGTTGAGGTAAGT